TTCAGGGTGTATGATGAAATTTGTTTGGCCTTGAAAGTTATTGCTTCATCCGTGATTGCGTCAGACTTTTATCACGCCCAGAGACTAATCTTTCGATTGTCGATTAGTTGTCCCACGGCCAATGCCTGCGATGGACGCTACTCCAAGAAAAATTGTAATGCTGCACGAACACACTGGCAAGACTTACTAGTGAGCAATTCAACGTAATATAGATTAATCCGGAAACTCTCCTGATTTAAATTCAAACGATTTCGTGGAATAGGCATACGAAGTACATGTGCCCTGGGTCATGCTTCATTGGGAAAATACGAGAAAATAAATGAATAATCACGGAATTATTCGTTTTGTTTCAATTAATGTGCACAAGAGTGTAGAATCAATTGCTAGGTCTACTGGTAGGAAAGTTGATTCACTGTGTCATGCCAGACAATTTTTCTCGTCTCATTAGTTTGTGCATTGAATATTGCTGCCATAGCTGGTCGGTTACTCCTGCTATATATCTCGAGATTCTTGACAAAATCCAAAGAAGGATCTGTAAAGTAATCGATCCTAACGTGGCATCTCGGCTTTAGTCATTTGCCCACCGCCTACTACTGGATTGGCAGTTAGGTCTCATCGTTTTACTTTTGAACTAGATAGATATCATTTTATTGAATTTACCGGAAATCTAACATATTTTCGTTTTCCAGGAGTTAAAGTATCTAGGAGTTGTTTATAGCGATAATTGTCCCGTGCCCTTTGGGCTACTCTAGCCACTTTGTTTTTGTATGGTGAAATTCTATGTGTGGCTGCTACATAGTAATTTTACAATTGGGGCGGTTTCTCTGCTTGTTGGCAGTCATATACTATGAGTAGCCAGTTGAGGACACATGGCACAGTGGATAAAGGCGTTGGTTAGATCCAGTGACAGGACCCAAAGAGTGTGAGTTCAATACCCGGTTAAGGCAGTGGAATTAACATAACTGATAACTGACATCCATTAAACATGGGACGTGGAACTAGAACAGTCTACTCGAGTGAGCGAAATAAAGGGTTCAGTTCGACATTCCAAACACCTGAAGAAGGCCGAAGGCTATAATAGTGGAGGAAGAGGGCTACGCATGATAGACATGCTACAGAAGGCTCCACACGAAATTTTAACATTCAGCGCCAGCACGTTGCAGTTTCATAGCTGGAAACTGCATGTCGCATTCCATATATGCCGCAGAGGAAGGTCACAAAATCAAGCGTGTGGGTCATTTCCTGGTAGGCTGAGGATCACCTTAAAAAGAATCACGCTATCGGCACTTAACAAGAGATAACTGACAATTGATTTATTCGACATTGATTTTCTTTCACCCACCTACTCTCACAACGTGAAACTGTGACTGTGGTAGAGAATGGATGACGGAAGCAGCTTTTGGTAAAATATATATATATATATATATATATATATATATATATATATATATATATATATATATATATATATATATATATATATATATATATATATATATATATTAATAAATAAGAAATTATACTCGCTCGGAAAACCTTCGGTGTCTTGATTTGCGAATAATCAAACCGATACCAAAGGGGAAAAAAGGTATAAAAAAGAAAGAACCAAGAACATGTACGTTAGCCGAAAACAATCGTCTAGCATTCAAGTCCAAAGTCCAAAGAATAAAAACCCGATACGAATAAGCAAAATAAATAAATATATAGGTTTGTCTGGCTCTCTAGATTTAACTATATATATATTCATTTGAAGATTTTGGAATCGGTCTGTATAGGATTAAGAAAACCTTCTCTCTGCCGACAGAAAGAATTTATAAGGTCTCTGAATCTGTTGGGGGATATTTTATTTTAACTGTCCCTCGCTAATTTATTTACATGATTTCCCCTTCCCTCGTTACAAGTATATATGCTTGTTCGTTATTTTAGTGTGTTTCCCCCTCATTTTTTTTTGCTCTTCAATTTCGTTAATATTCTTTTCGCTAATCCAACGATTGTCTCCTGATGAGATGTTGGCTGAAAGGGCCCTAGAGACTTTTAAAATTAAAATCAATGGTTTCCTTGTTTTTAAAACTATTTATAAATTTTGTACCTCCAAACATTTGTATATATATATATATATATATATATATATATATATCGTATTTTGGATCGTATTTACGATAATTATGACCATGGAATATTAGTGTTTAAGCCTTTTTATTATATATATATATATATATATATATATATATATATATATATATATATATATATATATATATATATATATGTATGGAAGAAAAAAACTCTATATTTGACAGATAAAAGAGCTTAAAATGTTGTTGCTTATAATGTGTTTTTTTTTAAATATATATCATACTTTATTTTTCATATTTTTGCTACACAAGTTTCGAGTGTGTGACCTTCATCAGGCAAAGAATGGTTATTTCTACTTATTTTTAAAATGAATTAATTTTTCTTTATGTTTTCTTATGTTTAACCATTGTCTTTTATGTCTGGTAGCAATCCAAGTTCTTCTGGGACTGATGGAGAAAATGTTCCTCTGCTTAAGGGGTAATAAAAAATTAAGATTAGTCAGAGAAAGGGGGAAGGAAGGAAGGTCTTTGTTCTTATGTTTTTATGTCTCCTGTATCTTTTTAGACCTCCATTTTTGTGTATTGTGCCTGGGTGCTTTTAATAGTAAGTGTATATATATTTCTTCTCCATACATAATGTTTTATTACAAGGAAATGGTATATATATATACAAACTTTGTATGGTGTGTATGGTTTACGTGTGCGTGCGTGCATGTGCGTGTGTGTGTGTGGACCGTGTAGTGTGTTAATTTTGCCAGTATGTATGTATATGTTTGTTCTCCATACATATTTTTATGGTATGTGCGCTGTTGAGTGGACACTAGTGTATTCGGCCACTATGCGTGTATGGTGTGTGTTTAGTGCTAGTTTCTTTGTCTATGATGTTTTTCTTGTATTTGTACGTAGCAATAAGTGTCACAACACATCCAGAAATGTTACGAAGGTAATTTTAAAATTACGCCAATATATCAAACTGATAATTATTCTTACCTACATATACAAGAAAAAAAAAACAAAACTTCATAGACAAATTTAAACCAGCTCTAAACAAATCATAACTCCCCGCCGGAAACACACACATATATATGTGTGTAAATATATATATATATATATATATATATATATATATATATATATATATATATATATATATATATATATATATATGTAAAAAAGTGACTATTACGGCTATTATAGCAAGACTCTTCGGTAAAGCGAATCGAGTCCTCTCAGTCACTGTGTTTTTATCTAAAAATAATACGGTAAAATTCACGTTCATTCTTTCAATAAGCCGTCGGTTTAGTGGTAGGATGAAGGTGAATTTTAGCGTATTCATTTTTATTTATTTTAGCACGTAGAATCTCCGACTGACGCCAATTCAGTCGGGTTTTGATCCTAGCTAGAGGCAACCGGACGTCGAGCCACACTGATGAGCTGTGATACAGCGAAACAGTCTGTCTGTGGATGACTGTATATATATATATATATATATATATATATATATACCATACAAATATGTATGGAGAAAGAACATATATACACATACTTGTAAAAACAAACACACTAGACAGACACGCTCACATGCATAATACATACTCACACGATCCTTAGACACCATACAAAGTGTTTCTATACACATACTATTTCCTTGTAATAAAACATTATATATGTATATATGCACATACTAGCAAAAGCAGACACACACACAATACACAAAGATGGAGATAGGTTTAAAAAGATGCAGAGGTCATTAAAAGGTAGAAACAAAGACTTCATTCCTTCTCTCTTTCTCAGACCAACCCTAATTGTTTTATTACCCGTTAAACAGAAGAATAATTCCTTCACGAGTCAAAGAAGAACTTGGATTACTACCACAGACAAAAAACAATGGTTAAACATAAGAAAAATTAATTCCTTTAAATAATATGTAGAAATAACAATTCTTAGTCTGATGAAGGTCACAATCTCGAAACACCTGTAGCAAAAATTTAGAAAATAAATATGATATATATTTTTAAAAAAACTACACTAGGAATCAAACACGTTTGCGGCTTTCTTTAATATATATATTATGAAATGGACTAAATCCGACAATTATATTTTTGTTAATACGATATTTCTATGGATACAAATATTTAAGTAAATGCTCTGTTTATAATAAACAGTATTAACAACATTTACGGGCCTGAATGTCCGAAAAATTGCATAGAAAATATGTCTCGTCCGACAGGAATCGAACCTGTATCCTATATGGAACCGTCATATAGTCTTAAAACCAAAGTAGTAATTCGAATTTCCTAACTCGCCACTTCAACTGTAGCTAAATGGCATAGAACGTCAGACTATATGTCGGTTCCGTGTAGGATACAGGTTCGATTCCTATCGGAGGACAGATTTTCTTTGAGATTTTTCTGACATTCGGACCAGTAAATGTTGTTAATACTGTTTATTATAAACGGAGCATTTACTTAAATATTTGTATCTATAAAAATAACGTATCAGTATGTATTTCATTTCGGTATTTGTAATTTTCATATTGTCATCTTTCTTTTGCTAACAACCATGTATTCTTTCTGTACAATATGTACATTAGGAAAATCAAATCTAACCTTAAAACCTACTTTTAATTCTACGATTGCTCTTGACGCTATATTTGCTCATGTTATTTCACTGAAGCATTGTTTATTATTACTAAAGATTTATTCTTTTCTCTCTTCATTACTAGTAAGGATCGGCAGATGTCGCATGATCCATAATGCATTTCATAAGTTGCTTGATTTGAAGAAATGCCATTAATGAGACCAGATTCTTCCGAAGAGAAATTCTTTCATTCTTTATGGCATTTTAGCTACAATCTGACAAGGTGCATTTTTTGACAAACGCATATTCAGTTTATCTGTATTCTTCATCGCTCTTTCATTTTAGCACCCCCACTTAACGTTCTATTGTTTCTTTCCCTTCTTATTTCTAGTCCTCTTTTCTTTCTTTCTTTCTTTCTTTCTTTCTTTCTTTCTTTCGTTATAGTTTCTGTAAATTATTTCTGTTTTTCTTTTCTGATCTTATAAATTCTTTCTTTTCTTCTTTTTTATTGTCTCTGCTCATTCTTTCTGTCTTTATCTCTTTTCTGATGTTATAACTTTTTTCTTTCTTTTCTCATCACATAATTTTCTTTCTTTCTTTCTTTTCTGACTTTATAACTCATTTCTTTCTTTACGGATCGTATAACTTTATTTCCTTTTTTTCTTTCTTTTTTCCTTACTTCCTTCCTTCTTTCCTTTCCTTCTTAAATGAAATTATAATTTCTTTTTAGTCTCTACCCATTCATTCATTCTTTCTTTCTTTCTTTCTTTCTTTCTTTCTTTCTTTCTTATCTTATAGCTTCTTTCTTACTTTTCTTCTTTTTTATTGTCTCCGACCATTCTTTCTTTCTTTCTTTCTTTCTTTCTTTCTTTCTTTCTTTCTTTCTTTCTTTCTTTCATTCATTCTTTCTTTCTGATCTTATCACTTCTTTCTTATTTTCTTCTTTTTTATTGTCACCGACCATTCTTTCTTTCTTTCTTTCTTTCTTTCTTTCTTTCTTTCTTTCTTTCTTTCTTTTACACGAACCTCCTTCTGTCTCTCCCAATGTTTCTCCTGTTCTTCTCAGTCCACTTTCTTTGTCTTTTCCAATTTTTCTTCTTCTTGCTTTCTTTTCTATAATGCGATTACTGTGTTTATTTTCTTTATTATTTCACCTTTTCATATGACATCTTCATCTCTCTTTCTTTTCTCTTTCTTTTTTTCCTTTATTTCCTTTCACATACTTTTCCCATTTCTCTTTCTCTTCTTTTTTTCCCCTTCTTTCTTTCCTTTCGATTCTCTACAATTTGACTCTTCCTTTCAATTATTCGGTTGCAAATGGAATCAAACCCGTTGGAACCATCGCCGTTCACCAATGTCAGCGAAGCAGAGTGTTTTTTTCTCTCCTCATTTGAAACAAGGAAAGCCCAAAGAACAACAGTGACAGCGGACAAAGCCGAATGTGGAAAACAGGAAAAAGTTCTTTGATTGATTTAGACACGAAAGAACGGAGAATCAAAAGATGTAATGGTAAACGTGTAGAACGAGTGAAAAACTTTCTCATAGAATCACTGCGAGTGGGAAATGTGGAAAGTTATCGGAAGCAGATGGGAGAACCATTTGGGTTGAGAAGCAAAAGGAGCGGGTTCAAATGATGAGGGTGAGCTGAAGAAGAAAACAAAAGACTGCGAAGAAAAAAAGAAAAAAGAAAAAAAAATGCAGTAGACTCATCTTCATTGCCATATTCACAACGTTTCAGCCGTTGTATCCTCCGCCTTCTTCAGGTGAATGGAATTTTTCTTCAATATTTGTCTATATCTCAGAGATAAGATATGATTACTTGCATTATTTACATTACGCAGTGTCGTTCTGGCGACACGTGACCGAACACTGCCATGAAGCGGAACTGATCCTCGTACATTAAACAATTCTAGTGACATTTTGCATAACTGAATGTGCAATTTATCCAGTTGCTGGCAGAAAAATTCGGAAGTGATTTTTGGGCTAGATTCCAGATATCTGTAATGAATGACATTCAATGGCAGACAGACATCATAATTTTCTGTTGGTGCCATTTAAGTTTAGAAAATGTTTGTGTCCTTTCTCACGAATAACACCCGTCAAAAAAAAAAATAAATAAAATGGTGTCGAGACACCAAACATCTGTTTTAGCTAATTTGAGTGCGCTGAATCTCAAAATGACTTCACTTTTCTTGGGTAGCTACCGTTTTTGCTGTACAGAAATATCTCATTTTTTTTTAAAAAAAGTATTTTTTCATTTTCTTCTATATATATAATATTGACCGATGGCAATATTTCTCAAAATAAAATCGTAGAAACCTCTGAATTTGTATTTAAACCAACAAATATTGGTCTGCTTATTGAGAAATACTATTTTTGCAATAACAATCAAAACCTAAGTCTTTAAAAATAACACGATTGAATATACCACGACCAACAAGTATTTTCATCAAATCATTCAATAAACTTACAGCAGAAATAAAACCTTCATGAACATGAGAAATATGGTAAAAAAACTTTCTCTTTCCTGATTGTCTGTCATGTTCAATGTTATTTAAGTCCCTTTTTAATACTGCAGCAGTATCATGTCCAATGGAATAGGTGCATTCAATTGGGATGTCTTTAGTTGGAGTTTCTTTCCAACTGTGAAAACAAAATCCTCACAATGTGCTTGGTTTCCTTCCGTAGTGAAGGGATAAAAGTGATGGGATAAAGTCATGAATATCAAACAGAAGATTTTAGGTTTTCATTTTTTGATGTCACCTTAATTATCAAGTTTACTAAATTGTATTACTGATAAAGTTTATCAGTTAATTTGAATTTTGTCAATAAATTGGAAGAATTCGGTATTTGTATTTCAACATTTTTGACTCAAAAACACTTTTTTCTTATGAAAATAGTTTATTTCAGGTGGCTGGCATAAATTGCTTGGTCTACCTGAAAATTGATGCGTTTCTACGACCTTTATTAACTAAATTTTGTGATCAGCCAAGATCGTAAATTGATCTTTTATTCCAAAAATGAGCAATTTCAGTACGGCAAAAATGGTAGCTAACCATGAAAAACTAAGGCCATTTTCGGAATCATCACCATCAAATTAGCTACAAAATGTATTTTGTTTGTTGGCACCAAAAATATTGCTGACCAGTATTATCCGATCATTTATGATTGCCATAGAGGGTCGATTTCTCGCCATAAGCCAATTAATCGATCAATATATGGATGCAACATTGAACGTTAAGCTTTCACGTGCAACCCAATTATCGCGTTTCTTCACCTTGCCAATTTCATTGAGATAATTCGATAATGTTGACTTGGGGTTTGTTTGACTCGGACTTTCAAATGTTGATTGTCAATTGAAGATGAACGTCCCCTACCACCTTGGCATTCAAAACTCGTATACCCCCACTGCAGAACTACAGAAACCAGCGCCGGACTGTGAGATCACAAGTGGAACCTTTACGCCAGGCTTTGTTAATGAGTGCAGGAGTTTAAGAAGCACTATGACCAAACTTGAACTCATACAAAAAATGAAAATGCATCTGTCTAGCTTTATGAGATGACGTATTATGTACACTATTTACATTATTCAGACTATTGTCCTCATCTTTGTCGCCATATTTATTACAAAGTTTCGGCACTTCAGAATCTGCCTATATTTCTGAGATGAGGTATTATGCACACTATTTACATTATTCGGACTATTGTCCTCATCTTTGTCGCCATATTTATTGCAACGTTTCGGCCTTTCAGTATCTGTCTATATTTCTGAGATGAGGTATTATGCACACTATTTACATTAGTCTGATTATTGTCCTCATCTTTGTCGCCATATTTATTACAAAGTTTCGGCCCTTCAGTATCTGTCTATATTTCTGAGATGAGGTATGATTTACACTATTTACATTATTCTGACTATTGTCCTCATCTTTGTCGCCATATTTATTACAACGTTTCGGCCCTTCAGTATCTGTCTATATTTCTGAGATGCGGTATTGTGTACACGATTTACATTATTCTGACTATTGTCCTCATCTTTGTCGCCGTATTTATTTCAACGTTTCGGCCCTTCAGTATTAGTCTATATTTCTGAGATGAGATATTATGTACACCATTTACATTATTCGGACTATTGTCCTCATCTTTGTCGCCATATTTCTTACAACGTTTCGGCCCTTCAGTATCTGTCTATATTTCTGAGATGCGGTATTATGTAAACTATTTACATTATTCTGACTATTGTCCTCATCTTTGTCGCCATATTTATTACAACGTTTCGGCCCTTCAGTATCTGTCTATATTTCTGAGATGAGGTATTATGTAGACTATTTACATTATTTGGACTATTGTCTTCATCTTTGTTGCCATATTTATTACAATGTTTCGGCCGTTGTAAGAAGGCCGGAGCATACAACGTCCGAAACGTTGTAATGAATATGGCGACAAAGATGAGGACAATAGTCCGAATAATGTAAATAGTGTAGAAATATCCTATTTATATTTTATTAAGAACCTTAATTCTTAACTCATGTGCTAGTCATCGAATAAGACACGTTTGGCGAGTTCCATGACAATAAAATATCTGTAGAAATTCTCTTACCACGCCCTTAAATATGTGAGATTAACAACTTTAACAAAATGTTGCAATAACAATCTTAAATATGAATACTGGTCATTATTTTAAGAAGTAAGGGGATACAAATGAAAATAAATGAAATTGACAACTTTTCTATTTCACTAAAACATACGTTAAATGCTTCTTTCTTTCTTTCTTTCTTTCTTTCTTTCCTTTTCGTACTGAAATCAAGTACTGTCTTTTCCGCCGATGAACTATTTATGGTGGTTTTGTAAGAGGAGCATAGATGCGGCAAAGGGCTAAAAGTATCGGGCACCCTGTGAGGATCGAACTCACTATTCATTCGTATTTGATCAAGCGAGACAAGTTTGCTAACCATTAAACCATGTCGAGTGCCTTTGATTTTCTAAGCCTAGCTTAGATGTGGCACAAGGCCGAAGAAATAGGGCACCCAATTAGGAACGAACTAACTTCTCAGTTGTAATTGTCCCAGCGAAATAAGCTTGTTAAGCATTACACCACATCGACGTGCCCAATAAGTTTAAATGTGACACAAGGCCGAAAGTATGGGACACCCAGTGAGGATCAAAGTCACTACTCAGTCGTAAATGTTCTAGCGAGACAAGCTTGTTAACCATTATACTACGTCGAGGTGCCCTAGCCTATTATTTATGAGGTATTAGCAGGGGATTTTAAAAACCTTATCTCTTCTTTTTTTTCTTTCGAGCCAAATCTACATCTTACAAACATTTCTCTTAATAATCATTTAAAAATAATTCAGCAGTCGATCGTATTTTATTTTATTTATGGTAATTGGATTTTTGGCGATTGCTTTCTCGATTTCCTTTGTTCGATACTGTGTGTCTTAAAGCGACACTTTATCGCAGTCATCATAGCTTCTTGGTATTTTGAAAGAGATCAAAGTGTGGTATCTGTTCTTATCAGCCTAATCTGTTTCTCTCTCCCCCTCTCTCTTTTTCTCTCTCCCCTTCTTTCTTTCTTCTTTCTTTCATTTTTTCACTGAAACCAAATAATGACTTTCCCCTCGCTATCCACGCGATCAAAACGCAGAATAGTCTATTACTTATGAGGAATTGACAGAACGTGACGGTCGTGCCAACAAATTAAGTGACAGACAAACACAATTACATTAGGATAATATATTAGAACTCAATTAACAGTGTTATTCTAAAATCGGTCATTAGTATTCAAACAAACCACATTTCCTTTTCAATTTTAATAGAATGTACAGACAGGATTTCTCAACGGCTATTTTGCAAAATTAAGACAAGTTCTGGTTCAGGCTGACAACGCGAAACAATGGAATTGCAAACACCAAGAAATATTTTCTTCCATACAATCGCTAACCCACTTGCGTCTTAGTGTCATTATCGCCTTGCATTGGGTGAATTGATTAAACAAATAATTTAATAACAGTAACTAATGATAACTAAATAATAGAACAGGCGAGGTATGCAAAGTATAAGGGTCATCGACAGGCAAACCTAATTTTCGGGCAATATTCTTAGTCCAAAAAACAAGGGTTTTTTTATAATAAGGTGTTGACTTACAGCCATATCGCGTTGAAACACTGATACTTATACGATCACTGAAGTTAAACACAGTTGTACTTGGTCAGTAGCTAGATGGGTGACAGCTTGGGAGTACCAGGTGCTGGAAGCTTGGATGTGCGGGTGGTGTTATAGATAACAACTCGGAATTGAAAATCGGAGATATCCAGTTCCAATTTCAGTTGGGTTCGTTATATTCACTTAAATACTCCGTGGAAAGATATGAACCAACCTCTTCTCTGTGGGTTAATTAGTAGCAAGTGTATCAGTTAAAATCTCCAAAAAAATTCATACAATCTAAAAATATTTACTGCCTTTAAATAACCCACAAAAAGTTTGATAAGTCGTAAAAAAGAAATCAATCGACAATCGAAGCAAAACGGTGTTGGATTTAATATATATATTTTTTTATTTTGTATTAAAATATTATTTTTTGCATCTTGTGGAATGTGGTGTCTTTATTCTTACGCACGCGTGAGTCCACCCCAGATTTCACATATGAAAATCGACAAAGACACAACAAATAGTTCCATAAACTTATAGAAAAGAAACAAAGATGGTGACCATAATGTCAATTCGTATCATCCTTTATACTTTAGTAAATTTATTTTTTCAAAATGAAGCATCCCTTTTCTTTTATAGCAATTTCTCAGTTATAACAAAAAGGTCATTGCGCGCTCGTTTACGATAAGTGCAAATATACACTAACTAGGGATTGAATGATGAGCAAGTTCCGAAACTAACTCTTTTTTTTTAACTAGGCCATTTGACGATATAGGGGTTGTGAGTTCAATCCCTGTGTCGGGCAGTGTGTACTTGTACTCTGTGGAAACGGGCGAGCAATAACTGAACAGTACTAAATAAAAATAAGAACTGGACGATATCCCATAATATGTGCAGTGGAACGAGAACAGTCTATACCTGTAGATTAAATAAACGGTTCAGTTGAAAATTCTTTACAGGTTACCCAGTTCGATACACACCTGAGAAAACCCGGAGGGCACAACGACTGAAAAGTTTTGATAAAAACAGCAAAGGTGAAGTCAATAGTCTGAGTATAAATACTGTAAAACTCCTCCTCCTCAGGAATTCAGACAGAAAATTTTCATTTTTCTTTTCTGGATATTTATGATTGTAAAAGCACGGAGATCTGATTGTAAAAATGAATCTCAATTTTATTTACAAACAAAAAAGCAGGGCAGAAATCAAGATACTAACGTATCGATGCGGAAAATGCAGTCGGTTTATCGGTCAATGTGGTTGTGTTCCGTTTCGCCTGTCGAAAGGTATAAACCCAACACTTCTCTTCTAACTATGGGTTTAATTGCAGGGTAGACTGTGCCCTGTAGCCTTGAGTGACAATAGCGCTAACAGAAGGGAGAGACTAAGTTCCAAAACGTTATAGAAGATAATGGGAAAACATTGTATCTTTTCCCTAAAATGAACGCATGGCAATTCCGAGATAATCAAATAAAGGAATCTGTGGAGAATGCCTACCTTGTAAAAGGAGATTAAAAATTAATTCTCAATGGTATTCCCTTAATATTTTTAAAGATTTATAGACTTTGTCCCAATCTCACTCTTCTACACACACACACACACACACACACACACACACACACACATGCACAGAGAGAGGGAGGGTAAGAGAAAGAGGAAAACTATATATTTCTGAAAGCATTCACTTTTTTATTCTCAGTCTCTTAATAATTTTCTTTTAAATTGTTATAGATTGCCCCCCATTCAATTTTGATCGATCTCTCTCTCCTCACCCTCTCCTTTCACTCTGTTTTCCCCCACTATCTCTCCCACTCTCTCTCTCTACAAAATCTGAAAATCTCCCTCTCTCTCATACTCAAACTGACACGTTTGAAAATTAAAAATGATCCGTAGATTTGCTAACAATGTTAAACGCACAAGCATAATTGAAAAAAAAATAATAATAATAAAAAAATAAATTTTAAAATATGAATAGTTTAATCATTATTTTTATTATCATTTTACTAATGAGAACCTGCCTCAGTTATTTCATAAAACTGCGTGGAGCTCCTGGGGACTGAATAATGGCAACTCTCCAAACGTCCAGCAGCTTCCTGATTATTTTCGCAGACCCTAGCATAACCTTGGTCAATTCTTCATGGAATCTCCACTTCATCTATTGCTTCCAGCGAACCACTTAGCCCAACCACACCAACCTTACTTTATCAACAACTGCCTCAGCTCCCAGGCGTAGTCCTGATACGTTTCCTTTTTTCCGGTTGCTGTTTGTCTATTCCTTGTTGACAAGTTATCTTGATTTCTCCTTAGAAAAGATGGCTGCTTCCGACTTCGAAACCCCAGAAATATTTTTTTATTTTCTATGACAATCTCTTTTGTGTCCATACAATTTACTCAGAGATTCGAACCAAAGTGATTTGTACTGTTCCATCTATATCATTGTTCCTACTCTGTCGTTCTTGCATTTGTATTATGTTTTAGACATATGGCATTCACATAGGATGTCATTGTTTCAACTCTTTCCACGACATAGTCAACAGAACACACAAACGAATCGGTTGTTGATAACTAATAAAATTACACCTCATTCTGCTAAGTAATTAATTTCTTTTCTTAGGTGTCCTCTGCGCATCCACGTCTATAACTTTTCATCTCCATTACTTACTATCTGCCTCTTCAGTTTTCTTTCTTTTTTTGCATACTTGCAATTAGTGTGCTTTTCATCCCATTAACACTGCCTGTCAAAATTTTGCGACGTTTTACTTTGCCTCTGATGAATATCTTTGAGGATTCCATCTTACATATTCAATAATCATCTTCTTATTTTTATTTTTTAAAATTTTCAGCCGGGTTTAGATAATGCCATTTACTTCCGCAACAGAGGAGAGATAGGCCCGCTCACAAAAAACGTTCATTACCCTGTGGCTATTTTCAGAATTAAATATACACTAGCGAGACATTTACCTTTTAACTAAAATAATGTTAAGACCTATACTAACCTTTTGACCCAAGTATAGAGCGGATATATGACTAAATTATAAAGGTAATAAACTGATCTTATTAACAGATCACACGGTGGCAGGTCTGCTGCTGATCTGAATGAGGATATGGCCAAACAGGCTGATATTTTCATTCCAGCTGATAGTAAAAAACATAAGAAAGGCTTTTAAGTAGAAAATCCCCCCCCCAGACGCGCCATAATTATGTCCTTGTGCAAGACTAATATAATCTTATATGACAACAATAGAAAAATCTAAGAAGTTGGTGCGTCAATTGTAGTATAAAAGTAAAAGTTAATGGAAGTCGAGCCAAGTGTCCGACATTCTAGATTCGAACAGGCGATTTCAGCTGCTGACTTAACGCTGAAAAGTCATTATTAAATTGCATCTTGTCACGTTCACAGCTAAATAAGAATAAAAACAATATAAAATGCAATAAAATAAAATGACATCGTATACTTTTATTTGCGAAAATCTTTGACAGGTGGAATTCTTTCTACAGCAATTTTAATCTCATGCCAAATCAGTTATTTGGTTTATTCTTTTCCATATTATTTTTTATATTTGTTCAACGCCGATTCAATATTTTCTTTTCTTGAGGTTCCAGAATTTATTCTATTTTTGACCTGCATTTAAGCCTCACACACACACACACACACACAAATATGCATATATATATATATATATATATATATAAACAGGGTAAAAAGTCGCCATTTTATGTTTTTAATTTCGCGCATGCGCGTTGTTTTATCTGCTTTACAGTACACTAGCGTGAGTTTGACACAGTCTGTGAGAAAAAGAACACAATGACGCAATTCACTCTGCCAGAGATTTGTAAACGGCATGCTGTACTGCTTGGCATTCGTGCCGAAAGCCCCAATACTAACATTTCAGTGTGCTTTGGTGTCAATCTGAGGAGATTTCAGAGGATTCATAAAGAGTTAGATGAATCTAATTATGATTACGAAGGTGTTTGGAGTGATCAGTAGTGGTGTCGACGTTATGCTTTCTTTCATCTTCCAGCAGGACATCAGGCTCAATCCGGGTGACTATATCAAGTGCCTTGAGAAGGTACTGCTGTCCTGGATCAAGAGGCTGTTTGCTGGAAGACCATATGTCGAACAACATGTATCTGCGTTAAGCATAAAAAAAGCTGTCGCCTCTAGATGTTCACATTTAGATTTACATAAGTTGTATCCCTGATAGTGAGCTTCTTTAACGGATAATTTAAAACTATATTTTATTATATATATATATATATATATATATATATATATTAAAAAAAAATAAAAGTAAAATTTACCGTGTATCGAACACTGTTTTTTTTTATAAAATAAATGCTTTATTTTGTGTCTATATGTATGTAAAGAGGGAAGAATTATTTATTTACCCAGCCGAAATATTCTAAAGTTTAGCAAACCATTATACCTTTATATATATATATATATATATATATATATATATATATATAGTTTCATCATATATATATATATATATATATATATATATATATATATATATATATATATGTGTGATGAAACTATATCAGGGATAGTGAGTATGTAATTATAAAAGTGGACACTGATATCAACAACCGGCGGCAACAGTCTGCTTTACGCATAAACGCTATATTCCACACCTGGCGTGAACTTTACGTTTAACCATGAAACAGACTGCTGCCACTGGGTACTGACATCGGTGTTCCTTTATATATATATATATATATATATATATATATATATATATATATATATATATATATATATATATATATATATGAAGGTGGCCAAATGTCACGAAGAGCTTTCGGTTAAGTGACACTTTCATTCTCGTTTTTTTTTTCAATACCATAACATTATGAAAAAAAAATAATTAAAAATTCCAACTCGATACACACACACACACACACACACACACACACACATATATATATATATATATATATATATATATATATATATATATATCACCTAACGTCCGCATCTCGCGACGGACGTTACTTGTAAACAAACAGTTATTTCTGAAGAAAGATTGAGGTCAATCTGAAAGATCAAATATATATAAATAAATAAATACTTTCATAAAAATCAAACTTCTATATATATATATA